GCGCACCTGAATTGATATTGCAAACCCACGTGACCCTCATCGCACATCAACACATGCAAAAGAAAACATCTCCATTGGCTTATCGGGTGCATTTTTTTGGTTGGTGGACGCGTGTTGAGGACCCATTAAAATGAATGGTTTCATTCAGCGCAATGCGTGTCAATGCACCAAAGAATGTGTGTGACTGTTACAAAGTTTGTAAGGTTGAATAAAGACCAAGGTCTATCCAGTCCAACCTATGTATGGGTGTGTATTTTTCTGGCTTTACCAATTCCCATATCAAGTGAAATATCCCTTGCCAATTCTACGATTGAACCCCTTCTCTTCTAACCTCTTGTTGTGTCCCCGGGTTCTCAATACAGTTTTGGGATTAAACAGTTTATTCCTAATATTGGGGTCTCCATTGATGATTTTGAAGACGGCAATAAGGTCCCCTCTTAATCGCCTCTTTTCTAAGGTGAATAAGTTAAGATTTTGAATGTGGTCTTCATAACACAGACCTTCAAACCCTTTACATTAATTTTGTAGCCCTCCTCTGAACTCTCTCCAGTTCCAGGATGTCCCTCCTGAGAGTTGGCGACCAGAACTGTACCGCATACTCAAGATGGGGCCGAACCAATGATTTATAAAGTGGAAGTATTACTCTTTCATCCCTTGCTACAATTCCTCTTTTAATACACGCCAGTATCTTGTTAGCTTTGCTGGCTGCTGCTTGGCATTACTATTGCCAAATCTATGATCTATGAGGATCCCCAGGTCTTTTTCTATGTCTGACTTTGCTAATATAGCAACCCCCAAGTAGTAGTTTGCGTACAGGTTCTTTACTCCTATGTGCATAACCTTACATTTTTCAACATTAAATCGCATTTGCCATCTTGTAGCTCATTCCTCTATGGACCTCTAAAAGTTTTTGGAAGATGAGTCGTGCACCACCAGCTTATGAATAGCACTTCAGCAGAAATATCTATTTAGAAATCATTTTTTAAAGGGTCAGTCCACACATAGGTATATTTTATTGGCTGGAGGAACACTTGGTGGGCTGAATCTGCTTCTGGCATCTTATATTTCTTGTATACTACAAGAGCGAGATCGTCCTGCTGAATTCCTGCCACCAGGAAGTTTGGGTTCCTGTCTCCCTATGCTTGTTCTTGCACCTCCTGTTGCCTTCTCCATAATTATTGCAACAGGAAAATTAGGAAACCGATTGCAAAAACGGGGGAAAAAGGAGTAACGCTAAGAAAAGAAAAATAAATAAATAAATATATATATAAATAATTAGGAAACCTTCATAATGGCCATACTCATCTTCAGGTGGTTTAGCTTTTTGGCATCTTCATAATTTATTTATTGTTATTGCTGGTATTTATAACTCCATCAATCCTAAGGTCCCTATCTCATATGCATATATACTAGGGCCAATTTAGACAGGAGCCAATTAACCTTCCAGCGTGTCTGGAAATATAATTTTGGAGTGTACTGACCCTTTAAACGCTAGCAGCTATGCAGGCCGGTCATTAAAATCAGAACGCACACTCTGAAGGGAAACATAGGCTTCAGGAGGAATCAGACCAGCAAGTATGCAAACATGAGTTAACTAATATTGACATGTCTGGGCGGACTGATTGCTTATTTTTTTCCTCTTTGCTGTGCAACAGATACTATAGCAGATGGTGCATGAACAGACTATAAAAAATATGGCTGTGTGTTCCAAGCCGGGGCGGCAGTGGAATGGTTAACATCCGGTCCTGTGTGCGCAGCTGTGTGAAATGATCTGAGAAGGCTGCCTGTGTAGAGTCTCAGTGTTTCCGAGATAAAGGCTGCTGCTCCGTAGCAATGGTTGCACCGCCACGCAGCAGCTGCTTTGTTATGTAATTGATACCGGTACTGGCTGATTCCTGCTGCGACCAGCAAACTGCGGCCAGGAGAAATGTGTTCTCATGTTGTCAGGTCACATCCGAGGCCTGAAGAATCCTGGTGCATGGCTGATTACATGGGCTGCCTAGGGCATATTGGCTTGCACAGGTGATAACCGGTGAAAACATGTGGCCCCATTTTCAAAATATCCAAAGCACGATCTGTGTTGCCTCAGTCAGTGAGCTGGAGAATCAAAGTCTAAAGTAGTATGGCTGCAGAAAAAAATATATAGTTCCCCAGCAATGGTTAATACAAAAGTGCAGCTCTGGCTGCAGTACTCACCGCCTCTTCCGCGCTGTCCATCGCAGTAATATCTTACTGCCACTAGATGCCCTCAGTCTTCAAAGATGATTGAAGACCCCTTTCATTCAATCAGGAAGACTGAGGATATCCTGTGAGTACAGGGTGTCCTGGACCCACCCCCCTTAAGGGGAGTCAAAATGGAACCCTGCACTCACAATGTAATATTGCAGAGAGAGGTGTTGATGCCATGTCATCAACACTGCTGTTTGCATCAGCGAGGACAGCCCACTGCTAGAGAAGATCAATAGAGTAAAGGGCCTCATGTGTCACAAGACTGGCCTGAAGACATCTGGAAAAGATAAACATAAAACAAGAGCAAAACATACTACCAGCAAGGGGGAGCTCAGAGTTGGGGTTTAATGCAAACACTTCCTGAGATAATTATGTTAACCACCTTCTAACGATGGTTCTCTGGCTATTAGGCTGACCTAATGTCTTCAGGTTTCCAAGTCACTGACAAAGAACAAACATGCAGGAAATTCAGTATATTTCTGTGTTAGTGACTCAAAGCATGTTCAATGACAGTCAGGCAACTGACATTTGCAGAGTGAGATTTACCAGAAAGGGATCTGGTAGCAGATATACTAGACTGGGACCTGTGTGTGTGTATGGTTGCCTAGCAGACCAGTCAGCTGACAAACTGCTGGAGTGTGGGCAGAGTTAAAATTGCAGAAGTCTGTGGCAATCAATTGGCTGCTCCACAGCCCTTACGCCCCATTCACACTGAGCGACATGAAAATCGCGCGATATTGCGCGACTTTTTCCTATTGGGCTGTATGCAATAAGGAGCAATATCGCTCTAAATCGCTCGAAAAAAGGGTCATGTAGGAGCGACAAGCTACCAGCGACGAGCTACAAGCAATATTGAGCGATATTGAGCGATATTGAGAGGCGAGATGTGAACAGCTCCATTGAAATGGATTGGAGAAGCTACATAGAGCAATATCGCGTGGAAATATGAGCGATATCGCTGCAAAAATTGCGCGATAAATCGCTGTGTGAACGGGGCCTTAAGGTCCCCACACACCTTACGATAATCGCGGGAAATCCCGCGATTATACGATTATCGTAAGGTGTGTGGAAGCCGTGCGACCTCTACTACTGTAAGGTTGCACGACTTTAAACTTACGAACATGTTTCAAAACCCGCGGAGCATCGTATGATGTTCAGCGGGTGTGTAGCATGTTCGTGAGATAAAAGCCGGACGGGCCCGTTTGCGCAAGCGCACACTGCCCGTTCGGCATTGCTGTCATCAGAAGCCCGCCCCTCAGGGGGCGTGGCTTGCGATCATCACAAGTACGATCTGCCTATGCAAGATAGGCAGATCGTACGTTTTTCTAAGTACCTTACAACAACCATCGCAAGACAAAAGTCTTGCAATGGTTGTAAGGTGTGTGCCCAGCCTTAGAGTGCACTAGATTGTCTGCCAGATTTGTATTTGCTTGCGTGTATTCTGCCAGCTAAATTTGTGTGAGTCTTCATCCAGTGGTGGCCAGTGGTATTGCAGGCTGTGATAAATGTTTCAAAGCACTGCTTCATCTGCCCAAAGTAAGCTCTATCCTTGCTTCTCTTCCACCAAACAAGGACTACGCTCCAGTTAGCAAACCACCATGGGCGACCTTCCCTGACATGGTGCCACATTGAGCAAACTTTATTTCATGTCTATGGGTACCCTAAGGTGGGTCTTGATAGCTTCCAAGAGGCATAGCAACATTTTATGTCTGATATCAATAAAGAACATGCCTTCTTGAGTAATAGGACTTATGCAATGAAGAGCATTCCAAAGGAAAAGTAGTCTTCATGCCCACAGTATCCACAGATATTCTTAGTTTATTTAATTGCTATATGTTAGAAGAAAACATGCTCACCAATGAAACCACAAAGCTGCTCATCCACTCACTTGTTATCTCTCGTCTCGACTATTGTAACTCCCTCCTCATTGGCCTTCCACTACACAGGCTCCTCCCCCCTTCGGTCTATCATGAATGCAGCTGCTAGACTCATCCACCTAACCAACCGCTCAGTGTCTGCATCCCCCCTCTGCCAATCCCTGCACTGGCTTCCATCCCCGCCCCCTCTGCCGATCCCTGCACTGGCTTCCAATAGCCCAAAGGATAAAATTCAAAATATTAACAACCACTTACAAAGCCGTCCACAACTTTGCCCCCGGCTATATCTCCAACCTGGTCTCAAAGTATCACCCTAACCGTCCAAAGACCTCCTGCTCTCTAGCTCTCTCGTCAGCTCCTCCCATGCTCGCCTCCAGGACTTCTCTAGAGTCTCTCCCATTCTTTGGAACTCCTTACCCCAACCTTTCTGTCTTTCTCCCACTCTGACTGCCTTTAGGCGATCCCTTAAGACTCATCTCTTTAGGGAAGCCTATCCCACCTCAACCTAACCACTGAACTATCACTTTCTCAAACAATTCATCCCCACACAGCTACCTCCTCATGTATCACTTGCCCCTCCCTCTTAGATTGTAAATCCTCACGGGCAGGGCCCTCCTTACCATCTTGTCTTGAATTGTATTGTAATTGTAATGTCTTCCCTATATTGTAAAGCGCTGCGCAAACTGTTAGCGCTATATAAATCCTGTATGATAATAATAATGCTATCATCAAAATAATTCTATAAGCATGCTACAAGCAAGAAACAAAAGGTGTTGTAGGCAAGGACTTTTTATATACTGTATGAGGTGTATTAACACTTTTTCTGAAGTGGTGTATGTCCAAAAATCCAACATTTTAATAGATGCTTATTTTTTTTTAATCTTTTTTTTTTAGGGTCCTGGTAGAATTTTATGTGAATGAAAACTCCTTCAAAGAGCGACTGAAACTATTTTTTATAAAAAATCAGAGATCAAGTAAGTATTTCAGACAACCGAAAAGTGTAGAAATAGAAGAAGAATTTAGAAGCCAAGCAATAAAGTGTAGAACCTGTTCTCCGGGAAGAATAAAGCACTGGGCTTCAGTCATTCATTTTAGACATATTGGTTTCCTGTCTCCTGGGATTTGTCCGAATCTGTACAATCTCAAGCTATAAATATGGCCAAAGGGAAGCTCCGAGTTATAATGTGGCTTTGGCTGGCTAAACATGAACCAGGGAGAGCAAGTGCTAGAGACAGATGGACTGGATAGAGGTGTTCTCTACACGCTTTACAAAAGGTTTTTATTGAACATCTGATAATTAATTGTTAGGTAGGGAAAGGAAGTACATTAGGGCAGTGGTTCTCAACCTGTATAACCTCAGAACCCATATTTGTCCTTGGTCATTAAGTCGTGACCCAAGTTGCACTGCAATGGAACACATGGCATTGCGGTACCGTGCGTTACGATGTGGGCAATAGAACTGTGGGTGGGAGATACGTTTGGGGTGCCATTCAAATGAATGGCAATGCAATGTACCTCTCACACCAGAACTCGTGGTAGATGCGATTGTGTGGTACAGTCTGTTAATCGTACGGGACTGTGCGATTAACGCACTGTACTAGTGTGAACGTGCTCTCAAAAACTCTCCCTATCTTATGAGAACTGGAGTGGATCCTCAGCCTGAGGTCCAGTGTGGGCTGCTGTGCTGTGCTGTAGCTCCATCCATATGACCAATAGCCCAAAGGATAAAATTCAAAATATTAACAACCACTTACAAAGCCGTCCACAACTTTGCCCCCGGCTATATCTCCAACCTGGTCTCAAAGTATCACCCTAACCGTCCAAAGACCTCCTGACTGCACTGGCTTCCAATAGCCCAAAGGATAAAATTCAAAATATTAACAACCACTTACAAAGCCGTCCACAACTTTGCCCCCGGCTATATCTCCAACCTGGTCTCAAAGTATCACCCTAACCGTCCAAAGACCTCCTGCTCTCTAGCTCTCTCGTCAGCTCCTCCCATGCTCGCCTCCAGGACTTCTCTAGAGTCTCTCCCATTCTTTGGAACTCCTTACCCCAACCTTTCTGTCTTTCTCCCACTCTGACTGCCTTTAGGCGATCCCTTAAGACTCATCTCTTTAGGGAAGCCTATCCCACCTCAACCTAACCACTGAACTATCACTTTCTCAAACAATTCATCCCCACACAGCTACCTCCTCATGTATCACTTGCCCCTCCCTCTTAGATTGTAAATCCTCACGGGCAGGGCCCTCCTTACCATCTTGTCTTGAATTGTATTGTAATTGTAATGTCTTCCCTATATTGTAAAGCGCTGCGCAAACTGTTAGCGCTATATAAATCCTGTATGATAATAATAATGCTATCATCAAAATAATTCTATAAGCATGCTACAAGCAAGAAACAAAAGGTGTTGTAGGCAAGGACTTTTTATATACTGTATGAGGTGTATTAACACTTTTTCTGAAGTGGTGTATGTCCAAAAATCCAACATTTTAATAGATGCTTATTTTTTTTTAATCTTTTTTTTTTAGGGTCCTGGTAGAATTTTATGTGAATGAAAACTCCTTCAAAGAGCGACTGAAACTATTTTTTATAAAAAATCAGAGATCAAGTAAGTATTTCAGACAACCGAAAAGTGTAGAAATAGAAGAAGAATTTAGAAGCCAAGCAATAAAGTGTAGAACCTGTTCTCCGGGAAGAATAAAGCACTGGGCTTCAGTCATTCATTTTAGACATATTGGTTTCCTGTCTCCTGGGATTTGTCCGAATCTGTACAATCTCAAGCTATAAATATGGCCAAAGGGAAGCTCCGAGTTATAATGTGGCTTTGGCTGGCTAAACATGAACCAGGGAGAGCAAGTGCTAGAGACAGATGGACTGGATAGAGGTGTTCTCTACACGCTTTACAAAAGGTTTTTATTGAACATCTGATAATTAATTGTTAGGTAGGGAAAGGAAGTACATTAGGGCAGTGGTTCTCAACCTGTATAACCTCAGAACCCATATTTGTCCTTGGTCATTAAGTCGTGACCCAAGTTGCACTGCAATGGAACACATGGCATTGCGGTACCGTGCGTTACGATGTGGGCAATAGAACTGTGGGTGGGAGATACGTTTGGGGTGCCATTCAAATGAATGGCAATGCAATGTACCTCTCACACCAGAACTCGTGGTAGATGCGATTGTGTGGTACAGTCTGTTAATCGTACGGGACTGTGCGATTAACGCACTGTACTAGTGTGAACGTGCTCTCAAAAACTCTCCCTATCTTATGAGAACTGGAGTGGATCCTCAGCCTGAGGTCCAGTGTGGGCTGCTGTGCTGTGCTGTAGCTCCATCCATATGTGCATCCACTTGTACAGCTCCCGTGCACACACTGTAGAGGTGCCAGGAGCCAGAATGTGACGTCACTTTGGTCCAGGTACCTCTACAAGGCATGCAAGGGAATGCAGGTATGGCTAGAGCTCCCTCACGGCCATAGCCCTAGCCCACCCCACCCTCCTTAAGCTGACACTCAGTATTAGGCAGCATATTTGAAATGGCTGCTTGGTGCGAGAACTGACATTGCTGCGCTAGGGGATGGCTCATGAACATCTCACCTACAAAAGTGGAAGGCACGCAGGGACCCACTGAATACGAGGTCGCGACCCACGTTTGGGTCACGACCCACCAGTTGAGAACCAAGGCACTAGGGTGACACAAATAGGTGGAGTTATGTGACATGGAGCCCGTTTCTCCCCCAATACAGAAATCTAATTAATATATTTTTTTAAATGATATTTTCCAGGTTTAAGGGTCCGACTGTTTAATTTCTCATTGAAGCTGTTGAGTTGCCTGCTCTACATCGTACGAGTATTACTAGATGACCCAAGAGATGGCAAGGGGAACTGGTATGTATTCCCGGCTCTCTCCTATTATCTTTGTGACCACACTAGTATTTTACCCAACTGTCCAGCAGCAATAGGACCGGTTGGCAATGTATTAATAGGAAAGACATGTAAGAAAAGGTGCCAACCCTACATTCACCTAATGCCTACACAGCCTTTGCATTAGCATGAGCTTTAATCTGTGCACTAGGCAACCATTTGAAACCTCTTGTTAAATGTTAGATAAAGTGTCTAAAGGAAGATCTGTCAGAGCCTTGTGCATAAAAATGTCTAAGGAGAGAAAATTTCTTTTTGTCCAGAATAACCAGATTCTCACTATCATTTTGCCAGATAGATAACAGGGAGACTCGTATTGTCTGGTGCATGAAGCAAGGCCCATTCATCCATCAAATACTTTAATGATACAAGTCTTCACTGTTTCCATCCAGGCAGCCAATGAATACTTTTATTGAAAAGCCTAAAAGATATTCTTTCACAGTGCCTGCATTTTTTTTAAACAATGCACGCTGATATACACTTACTTATTTGTGAAGCAATTAGCAAAATTGTCTGTTTTGGGTTTTTGCAAACAATAGTAAGATGCACCTGAATTGAAGTGCTGATCAGTCTTCGCAGCTTTTATCTTTGTGCTCCAGCCTATGACAACAAAAATGTCTAATTCACCATTCCCAATCACTTGCTTCCACCTCTTATGCAAAGCTGTGTTGGAAATACAACAGCATACACTGAGCTGTAGATGGCGCTCTAGTGCAATGCTAGTCTATGTTAATTTTCTATATGCATACTTATCTATGATATATGCAGGAAGTTCTCACTGTATGTTGTAAAATGCTGTATTCTGATGTAATGTTCTTCTAAGCAAGTAAAACGTAATTCAGCATTCCTCAAGATTTCAGTGCTTAATCTAAACACATAACCAACAAGCTGGAGCAGGGATCGCATCTATATCTCTTTAGTAACTCCTACCTTAGGTAGGCTAGTCTAGAGCTGTCTCTTTGAGATCATAGTCCTCGCCTTCCTATTGTCTGATTCAACTCGGCCATCGCTATTTGTGTTAATCAGATTCACAGCTTCCTGCTTAAGAGAAGTAACAGTTGCATATAACCTTCCTCTACTTACAGGCTTCCGGCCATTGTCCTTTGTTAGGGCATAATTAGATTTGCTCATGAGGACTGCACACCGCTCATTCAAATCTTCAGCCTTGCCTGCAGTGGTCTGAACACACTTCAAAGCCTCGGCAGGTTGGCCTTTTAATGCCCTACTTTCCAAATCCGTAGCCTTGTTAGCGGTATCCTGCAAACACTCGGAAGCCACTGCAAGCTGCTCTTTCAATGACTTCTTTTCCAACTCTGCCTTTCTCCTCATTTCCGATTCTGTATGTACAGCATAAGGAAAGTGCTAACCAAACACAGCTCCTGCAAGCATCTCACCCTTACTGAACCCAAAACACATAAGACTAAAGTCTGAGGAGAAACCTGAGACTCTATCGCTCCAAGCCCTATACAAAGCATAAGCATACTAAGCAAGCTCCTGTACAACAGATATCCATGGACTTTCTCTAGCCAAAGCAGTCAAGTCACACATCTCCTAATCTTCATGGATTTCTCTGCATGCCTATTCTCCTTCAACAAGCTTTGGAGCATTTTTAATCGGCAAAGATATCAAAATCAATGCCCACTCCAATTAAAAAAACAGTGTAATTCCAGTTTATAAGTGGGGTTGCCACCTTTTCTTCAAGCGAAACCCGAACACTCTAGTGACGCGCGGATATTTTTTTGGGAGAATGGGTCGTAGCTTATTCATATGTAAATAGCGCCACCCATTCGTATGTAAATATCACAGTTGAGACTATTTTCAACGGGGGACCAGTAGCCCTTATCTTAATTTTGGTTGCCCCGTCTGCCTGACATCTTGTGTCCGCGTTTCTGCTGCCGTGAAACCCGGACACAGCATTCAAAACCCGGACTGTCCGGGTGAATCCTGCACAGGTGGCAACCCTATACATAAGCCCCCAGTGTTTTGGTTTTGGGTTGTACAGCAACCTTTAAAAAAGTACAGGCATTTACACAAGATAAGGTGTAAAAATCGATATCTTTACTGAATTAAGGATATGGAAATGTGTACTGAGCGTTGAATAGGCTGGAAGGCACAGAGAAAACCAGTGAATACACAGCCATACACATGCATACACAAGCAAACAACCCTAATCCATTTATCCTAGTTTTCACATCTAACAAAAATATACACAATAAATTGTTACTTAGCTTAAAGTAAGGGACTTCAATCAGTCCTGGTGGTTGATACATGCTTCTGCAATGCTCAAGATGAAGTTCTACCTTGACATGGAATGTCATTAAAAAGTTAATTGTGTTCCTTATGCATGTGCACCTTGCACATGAATGAGGAACACAATTATTAACTTTTTAACCACTTGCCTTCCGCCCGTTGTAAAAAACGGACGGACGGCACTGCAGCATTGGCGGGTTGCGGTCGCCAGACGGCATTTTTTTCTGCTCGCGCGCGCCCCCTAGCGGGCACGCACGGGCAGGAAAGACTGTAATGTAAGACTAGGGGTATTGAGTTCCAGTAGACATTATCCCCAATTATAGTCCGACCCTTACTAAAATTAAACTTGTTAGCAGATGCCCATCTCCTGTCATACACCCCAATATAGTATATATACAGTTCTTGCCTACGCAACCTTATTTTGGTTACTCCTTGTATCTATTGCTCACTTGAAACTCTGTTGCAATGTGTATTTCTTTTAGTTACACATCAACCTTTATTTTTATCTACAGCTGGGAATGTCCAAAACAGAACTATTCTTCACAGCACAAATTTGACTGGTAAGAACCACAATTCCATGGCACAGAGATCTAGCTGGTTCTTAGTCTATTACACATTAGTGCCCACTTGTCTAGCAGCACGGAAGTCCAGTACTATTAAAGGAACAGCTGTACTTATTTGAGGTGGAGGTGGTTACTTCTCCATTGTAGTCTTCATTTATGCTGTTAAAAAGGTACAGCCTGTTTACAGGTTTATTTGCAGGTCGATCCATTTCAAGCCCCCCTCACTTGGGATCCCCAAACTTTTGATGCAGGCAATTTCCAAGTTACCCTGACTCCAACAGAAGTGGTGTGATTTATCATTGACACTTCCCCCTATATTGCCATTATTCCCTACCTGCTCTCACCCTGCTACACTGGGCTGTTTATTCAGCCTTTCTGCTAGGATTTCAATTCTAATTTTCTTTTGTAGGGTCCCTGCCCTTAGCTGGAGTGTCTCCAATTAGGTTTTGTGTGTTTTGGAGCTAGGCTGTAGCCAGTCTGAGCTCTCTTTACATATTTTCTAGACTCTGCAGGTTCTCCTAAGCTCGGTGTGTTGATTGCTTCTGTCTGCTACTGTTGAGGAGGTTCCAGTAGTCAGCATGGGAAGGACAATCACTGAGTTATGAATATTTGTGTGGCCTGACCAATCACTGAAGTCTTTGCTCAGTGGTGAGGATTGGTGAGATGATAAATGTTTGGAGCACCTCTCCAGAGTGTTCTCTTTCTCTCCTGGGCATCCACCTAAAGATGATGTGAGTATAGAGCAGTGGTTCTCAACCTGTGGGTCGGGACCCCCTCGGGGGTCGAATGACGATTTGCCAGGGGTCGCCTAGTCAGAAAAGAAAAAAAAAACCACCATAGAAATGCATAGCTAGATTCCTATTGGCTATTTCACTTTGCAAAAGCCAATAGCAAACTAGCTATTGCAACCGCCCTCTGATGCTGCCAATCAGCAGAGGGGGACCTGAAGTTCGGCACGTGGAGCTGCGAACACGTCCGAGCCCATCCCTATCAGTGACAGTACTGCAGAGTATGTACCTCATACGTTATATAGCCACACACTTTAACCCCTTCATGACTGAGCTAGTTTTCAGGTTCTGTTCATAAATGACTGACACATTTTTTACATTTTTGCTGTGTGATTCTTCCACAGCAGTAATATACTTTCTTACGAAATGTACCCACACATATTATATATAGTTTTTTAGAGGACAGATAGGGCTATATAATTATATCACATATGTGTACCTAACCCCTCACTTAGTTTGAATAAAATAAAAAAAATGAGGAAAAAAACTAGAAGAAAACACTTTTTTCACAAGTTTTGATTATTATTATTTTTTTTAGAATTTTTTTATATTAATTATAGTATAAAAAATATATTTATATATAATTTATATTTTCCTAATTTTGTTTTACACTTTATTTTAATTTTTTTACACTTTGTAAAAAAAATAAAAATAAAATAAAAAAACTTTTTTTTTTCTTGTCAGTTTATATCAAGCAATCACTATGACAGCTTGATAAATTAACTTTTTTATTTTATTTTTGGCTATTAGGCTGATCCAAACTTAGGAACAGCTAATAATAACCTTAGAGACTGATCCTGACTTTAGTCAGATTCAGATCTCACTAAAAGCTCTTTGATCGTGCCTAGACGATCAGAACTGATACATTTCACTCAAAAGATATACATTTTTATCTTTTGAGTGAAATGTATCTAAACATCGGGCTCTCAAGCTGTCAAAACAAATAGCAGAGAGGTGAGGTGAGTCACTGCTGCCTCTCTGCTGTTTTGAGCTGTCAAATACGGGATCGCAAATTGCGGTCCTCTATTTGCATGTAACGGCTTCATTCTTTCATTACTGAAAGGAAGAAGCTTTTACAAAAAGCTTAATTATTTCATTAATTAATGCCTCAATACTGAGACATTAATGACTGTTAAATGCTGAGAATCAGCAAATACCGGCATTACAAAGCCTGATATAACTCGTCACGTACAGTGTACGTGGCCAGTCATATAGGCACAAAGTGACAAGACGTACACTGTACGTCTCCCGTCACGAAGGGGTTAAATCCAATTCTTCTAGTTCCATCTGCAGAGCCCGGTCCGGTCTTTGCCTATAGCAGTGGTTCTCAACCTGTGGGTCGCTGTGCAAGGTGAGAGTCCTCCTCAGCTCTCTCCTAGCGCAGCAGTGTCAGTTCCCCCGCCAGGCCTCCAGATGTCGCTGCAGCAGCCGCGTCATCCCTAAATTTTACCTTTGGGGGTCACCACAACTTGGCAAATATTACCAAGGGGTCCCGGCCCTAAAAAGGTTGAGAACCACTGGTATAGAGTGTTCTTTTTCTTTTGGGCCTTGCCTCAGCCAGGGTGTTATGCTGGGGGCCCTAGCACTTTAGCTGCTCTGCTGGAGGGTGTTTATCAAGAGGGAGCTGGGCAAGAAGATGGCTGCCTGGAGGGAGCATCTGTAAGGTCTCTCCTAGGTGAAGGGTGTTGCAAAGGTGCTGGATAGAAGCTACTGCTGGGCATTGCAAGAAGGATTCATTACCCACAAATTAAGGTACCTGTAACTTCTGTCAGAGGTTCAAGGGCCAGACTGATTAGAGAGACATCCACTGCAACATAAGCAAGATTGTGGCACTTACAGGGTCATAGATCTGTTTGGCTGCTCTTACAGGTCCTGGAATTACCGAGCAGCTGTTTTTAAAGGGCCCGCTACTTTCAGAGTACCTGTCCTATTTTCTGTGCTCTTTCTGGGTATCCTGCACCCCTAAACCCTCTCTCCTAAAATTGAGCTCAGCAACACAAGGACAACAAAGGACTAAAGTGACTGGCTCCCAACTTATGTTTCTCCCCACCATACACCAAGAACCCAACCTTGAGGGGGAAATGGTAACATGCACACTACTTGGGGTTAATTCTGCATCACCACAAGAGGAGGAGTGCTACACTTAGGTAGGTACATTTCGTTTTTTTTTTAAATCAGTTTCAAACACATCTTTCTTCACAGTTCCTTCTGACCTGCAGTTGACCTCCCTCTAAGCTGTTTAATTCCCATTGATTATGGTGCAGCTTCCTCCTTCATTATCAAGCATGCTAGAGGTTGTGGGTGCATAATTAGAGGAATGGTCACTTATCATCTGCTCAGGCTGTTGTCAGGGGATTTTCACATATGGCAATGTAAAGGTTTGGGGTGAAGGTGGTTACACTGACCTTTAGACTACTGGATTAGCAGCAGTACATCAGTTTACTTTAAACAGCTGAATGTTACTGATGTATTACTTTATACCCATAACAATATTTTTTTTCTTTTCTAGGACCCCCATCATTTGGGTGAACAGACCTGTTCCTTTGTGGGCACTCCAGGTGAGCAAAGTTATCTCCTGAGCTAGGTGTTAAACACAGTGATATAAAGCCTGTGAGCTGAACGTTTTATATCACTGAGCAGCTCTTCCGTCTCCATATGGGTAGCGTTTAGACCTGAGCTTTAGGCAATCAGATTATTATTATTAATATTATTATTAATATTATACAGGATTTAATGCCAACAAATTGTGCAGCACTTTACAAAATGGAGGGAGACAGTACAGTTACAATACAATTTCACTACAGTAGGGTTAGGAGGGCCCTGCTTACTATCTAGTAGAGAAATACACAGTTGAAATATACATAGATTCACATATATTAACATATCTATTAACATTTCCTACATGTGAATTACAACAGAGCCTGGTTGGCTCCTACTACCATCTCTCCTTCTCCTAGTTTGAGTGTGCTTTGCCTTCACAAAATAATAAGTTTGATGGTTGATGCATGCTTCTTCAATATTCAAAATGGAGTTCACGCTTGGTCAGGGAGCACAGGCATGGCTGCCCACTCTTCCTTCCATCATGCAGCACTGTCTCTTCTTCTCAGACAAATGGCCGTGTGATCTCACTTCCTGTCTCCCCCCACATCCTGCCAACATCACTTTCTGTTTAACCAACCCTTTCAAAGTAGCTAGGCCAGTTAAGTAGCATTTAAATAGAGAAACCTCAGCTACTGGATTGGCGGAAACGTATTTGAAATGCAATTACTCCTTTAACTTCCAAATGGTAGCTAAAAGTTATGTTCCATATTTGGTATATATAAAATTTTTTTGCCATAGTAACACATTCATCCACAATTTTGTTGTAGCACAATTTGAGAAAATCATCAACTAGGAAATAGCTAACGCATTCATGCAAGACAAACACAAAACTCTAACCAGCATTGCTCAGCAGCTTTGAAAACCTTTGTCCAAAATAAACCCCCCATATTGTACATGGGAGGAAAAAAATAATAATTTTGATGGAATACTCAACTACTCAACTCAATATCCATCTAGAGTTCAGCTTAAACACTTTCTTGGAGGACCTCTTTAATACAGTTGTGTTATTATATAATGCTCTCACCGTATAGCACTGCTTTAACTGGAACTTTTATCTTGTGGAACCCTCATTTTATGTTCCCTTTCCTTATAGGTGCTTGTTGCATTAATCAGCTTTTTGGAAACTATGCTGCTGACTTATCTAGGATACAAGGCAAGTCTCATTTGTTCTGATTTCACTTGCTTCCCTAAATAGTTACCACAACATAGTTTTCATTGCAATATTTGCTAATTATTTCAGAAACATATATATTGTTAGGTTATTTTTAAGGGTTAAGTTGCTATCCTCATCCTAAATCCTAAAGCAATTAACTGTAGTCATAGATGGCCATGTAGCTTCTATGGGACTCAGAGGCTAATGGGCCCTACAGAACCAGGTTGGAGTGTTGGAATCATCAGTGGAACAGAGGAATGTAATGTAACTAACCTGCACAACTTTGTTAGAAAGCATGCCATGCCCATGAACTTACCGGAACTCTCCCAGCAATGGTGGCTTTTTTTCTCCTGTTGCCAGGTCTTCGGCTTGATAATAAACATCTCTGGCTCCGGCAGTGGTGTATTTAGGTTTTGTGCTGCCCTAGGCAAGACTAGATTTGGGCGCCCCCCCCCATGGCTGGTCAGAGGAAAGTGAAAACGTTACCTTAAAGGACAATTTAAACCTCGCGTTTTTTTGTATATCTACTGCTAGCAAGCGATGTATATATAAATCAGCCGGCAAGCAGTAGATATATGCAAAAACATTACAAAGAAAAAGTAACTAAAAGGTTAAATCATACCTGTGTCTCGGGCAGCCGCAAAGGATGATGAGGCGGGCGCATGCTCAGTAGAGATCTTCGGCCGGGAGAAGAGAGGCACAGTGTAAGTCAATGGACAGGGGACACGACAGTCAGCGCTGGATCAGAGACCGACTCCGCCGCTGGAGGGACTGCTGCAAACTACTGGAAAGAAGAAGATGATCGGATCAAGAGACATCCATCAAGGTAAGTTCTTACACCAGCATGGGGAGGAGGGGATTTTTGACTTTGAGGTCACTTTAAGCTCCCCACACACATTACAATCTGACTGTACAATCTCCTCTAGATCTACCGGTTCCAACTTCCATGTATAGGAAGGGCCTGGCAGATTACATACAAAACGATACCGTTTTGGAAAATGTGAAGTAGATTGAACGGAGATTGTATGGCGGATTGTAAGGTGTATGGTGATCTGAATAGATAGCTGGGAAGTTTACTGGTGTCAGGGGTAACATATGTGAGAAGTAGAAATTGCTCATCTCTCCCAGAACCTCTGGATGATCCCTAGGCTTCTATAAACCCCTCTGGGCTTGTTCACACCAATTGCGTTGCGTTCCAGAGCGGGAGCTGCTGGAACGAACCGCAATCGCTCACAAAACTTCCCCCTTCGTTCTGGGGTGGGAGGGGGCATGGCGGTGCATTGAAGTCACACCCCCTGCCCGCAGTGATATCAGATGCATGGCAAAACATTTCCTGCATCTGGTCCAGTGTGAACGCAAAAAAAATGCTGCATGCTCTCTCTATTTTACGTGCGCACTGGACTGGAACGCAGGCAATGTTTTTCCATGTGTCCGATCGTACTGCAGGCAGGGTACATGACTTTGGTGCCCCTAAACGAAGTGGGGAATTTAGTGTGCAGTTGCTGTGTGTTCCAGCAGCTACCGTTCTAGAACGCACAGCAATTGGTGTAAACTGGCATTAAAGCTTTTTGCGTCAGGGCACGATCGCCAACCCTGGTTCTTAGACTACTGAAGTGGAGCAGTGATGGCAGAACCATACTTGTGCTGCGTACAGGGGAGGTAAGAGAACGATTGGGATGAGAAAGTTAATGTCCCGTGACCGTCCCGTGCTGACACACACTGACAGTAAACCGCACACAGTATCTCAGGGTCTGATGAGGAAGCTGTTCACTGAGAACGGCTGCGGCTTCCTCATCAGACCTTGAGATATGAACGGTCCGAGCATTTACCTCATGTCGGAAGGCGAAGCTGTCCCGCTCACTGTCCCCTCTGCTCACCGGGCGCCTCACCCTCTGCCTGGAAGGCCGCCCCCCTAAAAAATGCCGCCCGAGGCAAAGGCCTTGTTTGCCTCGTGCTAGATACGCCCCTGGGCTCCGGCCTGAATGTTTGTAAACAAGGTCATGTGACATTGGTGTGTCACATGACTCAAAAGAGAACTATGGGGTAAGTGTTTTCCCCATAGTTCTCTTTAGGGTTACGGGAGGACATATACTAACCTCCCCCCATGACCCAAAGTTCAGTATATCGCGGGCTATTGCCCGCGATATACTGAGAATGCCACAGCAGGGATGGATCCTGACAATACTGTTGAGATATCCCAAGCTACGTGAGTGAAAGCTGGCTCTGCCTATCTAGAGGCAAAGTCAGCTGTGCCCTCCCCTCCCCCATTCTTTCCTCCACTCAGCGCTGGAGGATCAGAGAAGGGAGCGGGAAATGCCTGCGGGGAGCGATGACTGGCAGTCACCGCTCATTGCAGAGAGACGATTGGGAAATGAGCAGATCGGTGCATGTTTCTGCTCACTTCCCGATCGATAGAGCCGACCTGCGACAGCTTCTTTGTCACAGTTGGCTCTAACTATGAGGATGAGTGGATATCACTTACCTCATAGTTCTCCATTAAGTCTGTGAAGGTCATGGTATATCTGTAAAAAATAAATCAAAGCAACTGGGCTTGCTGTATTTTTCTTGAAGACATTTCGCTTGTCATCTGACTAGCTTTCTCAATTCAAAATGACTTGTACAAAAATTATCTGGGAATAAATATGGTGAATGTTGTTCCAATCAACATAATCTGCGAATTATAACCAGCATGGGGTACCCAGCAACACACTGAGGCAACAACTGGTCCCCCCAAAAGACCCAACGCCTAAACACAAGATGAACGACATTGTGTACGCAGTCCAGTGCAGTGAGAAGTGCTCAGAATTGTTTGTCGGGGAAACAAAACAGCAGTTACACCAGCGTATGGCACAGCATTAAAGAGCCAAACCCTCTGGTCAGGACTCAGCAGTGTAGTTACATCTATTGTTTGTCACATACAATGCTGTTTTAAAGGAGAACTATGAGGTGAGTGCTTTTCACTCACCTCATAGTTCTAGCCGACCTGTGACAATGAGACTGTCATAGGTCGGCTCAGTAGATCGGGAAGTGAGCGAACACATACCAGCATTCGCTCACCTCTCGATCCTGTTACAGCTCTCTGCCGTGACAGTGGAGGGACTGGATTCCCCCCTCCCCGCTCCGCCAGCGCTGACTGGCGGAACGGACTGGGGAGGGTACAGCTGACACTGCCTCTAGATAGGCAGAGCCAGCTGTCAGTCACGCAACTGGGCAGATCCCGACATAATTGTCGGGATCCGCTTCAGCTGCGGCGTCTCAGTATACCGCGAGCAACAACTCACGGTATACTGCGGCGTCTCAGTATACTGAGCCTAGGGTGACGGGAGGACACTAGTTTGTGTCCTCCCGTTACCCTAAGGAGAACTACGGGGAAAAGCCTTAACCCCATAGTTCTCCTTTAACACCTCTCTCTGGGAGGCTCAATAATACCTGGTAGTTCCAATCATGCAATCATCATTGGCCATAGGGTAACTTTATCACTGTGCTTAGAGTATTCTGTTATGTTCCCAGTGGAAATTTAGTTTAGTTAGGCCCCTCCTGAGATGAGATAGACTAAAGTTTCACTTTCACATGGAAATATTTACCATCAATTGATTTTGGCAGTAACTAACAGGTAATTCCCTCTAAAGTCAACTCCCCCCTCAGTTGTAATCATCTAGTCTATTTTAATTATCTCCCCATCTGGGGGAAGTAAATAACCCTGACAGAGCTTGTAGTCGAAATTACTTAAAATCAATTGCAACCGCATTTTTTCCAGCCAATTGTATGTCATTCAATGGACACCATTCAATGAGTGGCATGACTATAGGTCACTGTGGTAGACAGTGTCATTGTTTCCTGGCGGTATTGCATCGTATAAACAACCCCTATATTATCATTATCACCCCTATATTACTTGATGTAAGCAACTGGAACCCACATAGACCTCCAATGTCCAATGAGCAAGAGACTGGACCTTTTGTCCACGAGGAAGCCTCAGGCCCATTATGGCCAATATGGCTGAGCACAAGTGTAGAAATGAAGACTTCTGACCATTCTGTGAAATATACAGTGT